GAAGTGGTAACTCGAGATTTTGGTTTTTGCTTTTATTAGTTCGAAGAAGGCGCGAGTTGCATCAGACACTCATCACTGCTCTGAAAAGCTCTGACGTCTTGGAATCCTTTTATTGGACTTTGGGATTCCGGTAGCTGAGGAAGCAAGGCCTCCACATCCCAAACCGTGTTTCGCGAACCCCTTGCGTACGCGAGAATTTACAGAATGTTACATTAAAAGAAAAACTGCGTGCAGTAGCCAGTAATTTGCGTAAAAACGACTTAAGGCAGTTTTCGTAGTTGGCGCACGGTTACTTTAATTTGCAATGGCTGCCGAACTAAGAAGTTATACGAAGAATTCGCAATGTGAGAAGCGAAACTTAAACAGTCGCTAGTTCATTAACACTTGTAGGGGGCTCTGGAGACGAGTCCTTAGCCTCACGACTTAACCCCGAGAACAGAAAACCCCCCATGTACAGTTGGGCCATGTTAATTTGAGGTATTCTACCCCCACAGACGACGATTTTATGAGGCAGATTCCTTGAAAAGCTTATGGCCGCCTGATAATTATCTTAGATCCAATATTAATTATTTTTGTGCAAAACCAGTTGCCAGCTGCGTAGGCGCAGGGATTAAAATACCAGGAACAAGTGAATAAGTTCCCTTTCAGGAACCTATTCTTCGCTCCAGTAGACGCGAGGTAATGTTGCAGGCGTCGTAGTAAAGTGTAATTGGTGTCAAGACGTCAGATAACTTATAATAAACGACCTAAATACGAGTCAAGCCAACTTTTTTTCTAAACCGACGTCCAGAAATGAGTGCGGGGTACAAATTAATAACAGATTCCCTAACAATGGAGACAGTAACAGCTGTTGCCCTTGTCACTCGTAACAATGCGCGGTTCCCATCGCTTCTTCGAATTCCTGCCTCGAACTGCGATTACGATTTGTTAGTTTCAGTGTCTGTGTAAAGACGAAGCTTTGTTTGCTGCAAAATTTTTGGAAACGTTAAAAGAGACGGCCACAAGTTTCCCGCGTTTAAATACGACGCTACGATCTGAAGTTTATGTATATACATGTCTTTACCACGTAAAAATCCCATAATTCGAGCGTAACTTAAACCACGTTGGTCACTGCAGCTTTTATAGAATTTTTAGTCTTTCAAAAGTGAGGTTATGTCTCCTTACGTCTTACGTCTTACCAGCGGTTATTTTTCTCAAAGTATTTTTTTTAAAAAAAGAACTGACTATTTTATCCAACGCTTTATGATTTTAATATTTCGGAAGTTGCATTGTTGTCCAAATTTATATTCAGACATCATTGTTTAATGCTGTGTTTAATTCGAGACTGAAATTCAAATGGCCACTGCACTTAGATTCTTATCTCATAACATTGTGCCAACACAGAAACATATGAGTGTTTCTGAAGTATTGTAATAATTTTCTAGTCACGTTGGCTGCTGAGAAATGTGAATGCAAATCTATACGAGCGTTCCATTTTTTACGACAGCGGTTGGTATGTTGAAGTGAGTAAATAAACTAAAATATCAAGGACATTCGAGTCCCATTATTGCGTTAAATTTTCACTGTTTATTTAATCCACTACTTTCTTTGTGTGTGTTTCTTGTTCAGTGTGAATCGTCACAGAAGTTTCTAGCGGCATGTTAATTATCATTTACAAAAATAAAGCACGCCAACGTTTTGAGTTCGTACCGCGCTGAAAGTGACATTGTAATTACAGAACTGCTGTCAGCACTAAAGTTTTTTGCGATGACATTCTCATAAAAATTCCCCTCACTCACTTTGTTTCATTACGTCTGCTCCAGTATTGCGTCTGTTTCATGCGTTTAAGATTTATACTTCTGCAGTTTTCATTCTTAGGTTATTTAATGATGCTGTTTTACCCTTCAGAGTGTATGCAGTTGCAATTAGATCGTGTGGTCGCGGATGGTAGAGACTATTTAATAATCAGAGATTTGGCTCACAAATTTGCCTCGAGGTTTGTGGAAATAATGGGAAAGTAGAAATTCACGAGCGCATTTGATGTTGATCGTCAGGCAGCGTGGCACATCCAACGCCAAAACTCAAGGGGGCTTCGTAATCTGGAATCTAATTAGGAAGTAAGTCGCTGTGTTACCACACCCACCCATTGTACGAGATCTTTGTGTAGGTTAGTATGTGCCAGCAAGGTTCCTGGCATGGCACGCCCCAAGTGGGCTCGCCCCCCCCCTCACCTCTCCTGTGTCTTCGGTCCAGTTAACGGTACTAATTGTCCTGACAGCCGCGGGCTGTTAACGCAGAAGCTGCCGACAGACTCACGTTACGTACAAGACGTTCCTTGAGCATGTGTACGGGAAGCAGGCCCCATCATGAGGAACTTCACATGCTTAAACACTGTTCATCCAAAGATTTATTTTAATATTATCCTTACATTTAGACCCAGGTCTGTGAAAAAGTTACCAACGATGCAATTCCGCCTTCGACGAGTACTAAACCCAACTCCCCCATTCGACTCCTTCTTCCTTCCGGAGGGCTGTAATTAGACTGGGGGGCAGGGGGTCAGGATTTATCGGCCTCAGGGTCCAGTGGGAGGATCTGTGATAACAGCTGTGGACCTCCGGGTTCATGAAAGGCAGTGAATTCTTTGACTAGATGAGCGACTATGTAGTTATGGAACGAAGTGGCCTTGGCCTATTTCAGGCTCTTTATCGCCTTGCGGTGCTAAGGATAAATAAGCTCAGCGTTGAATGTACTGACGCTGACTATTTTAAGACGTCAGAAAATTAGAAAAATTTGAGAAGGTGCAATGCAGGTTGTGTGCTGTTTTGAGACGTCAGAAAATTAGAAACATTTGAGAAGGTGCAATGCAGGTTGTGTGACATCGCACATATCTAGTGTCTTATTGGACAAATCCCAGGATTTCTGACAAAGGGCCTCGCCCCGTAGAAGAATCTGTCCTTAGAGTTAAATCGGGAGGTCCTGCACCACGCCCTATTGACCTAAGAGAGACGCGTGGTTCATATATATGGTTTTGCCTACACATTTCGTACGATGACTTTTCTCCGTTGCTTATGGAAGTGATTTAAGGTGTGATCTTTATAGATCGAACATTTCGAAGAAATGTTCCCTGCACAGGGCATCACAACACAGAGAAACGATAAGTTATATTGTTCCACCTTTCCGGACGAATTAATTTTCGCCCTGGTGATGGAGGCAGGAAACACCTCCGAAACGTCTTTAAACTTCTACTCGCATATCATACGAAGTTATACGGCGTAACACCCTAGAAGACAGTCGTCATAAAATTGGATAAAGTTCGGAGCGAGACTGTTCGCTCCCTCGCCAACAAATTCAGACCTCGGAAACAGCTGCATGACGAAACCAGACCGGAGCTTTGCATGGGCTACGGAGATGGATATTTCTATAATTTTAATTTTTGCGTTTGCGGGACAAATGAACCACACCCAAGACAACTTGTCTGTTGATGACTGCGTCGAAGGTCGCATCGGCTGCTGCACTGTCCACGGGGTGTGTATAAAAGGACAGAAACACGACATTATTATTAACATTCGCTTGTGAAGGTATCTCAACAGATCAACATGAAGGTAACTAACTGGCTTTTGGTATTGGCAACGTGCGCCGAGGCGTTTATCAGCCTCTCTGACTGAGGCTTAAAGTAGAGAGAACATTTGACATAAATTCTGCGCATTGGTTACGCCATTGGCAGAGAATTTGCTCTTTTTTGAGGGCGGAGGGAATTTCAGTCAGAAAACAAAAATTTCCTTTGCAAAACACGGGACAATTTCGGGGAAATCTGAATTCATAATCCACACACAGAGAGGCGCTGACTGAGAAACACCGGTAAATCTGCCCACTAGACGTGGATTTTCCACTTTGGTTCATTACTACTGATTTTTTTCTAATACGAATGAAGTGGGGTCGGATGTAACTTGCTCGTACGTACTACCACGTCGTATGCATGGAAGACTCGAGGAGCTACACAATATTGCATGTAAGGACTCGATTCGTGTTGTAACCGAGAAAATGCTTCCTAACGTTAAAATCGAATTTGTTAGTAGTTGAGGTTCATTACCAGCGTTTCTAGTTGATATTTATGTGTGTAGACTGTTTATGCAAGGTAGTTAACTGCCGCCATGTTGCAGTGCCTGTTTGTCTTCGCCCTCGTCTTCGTGGCATTCGCCAGTTCCCAGATCCTGGTGTCGTCAGGCTTGTACGGCGTACCTGGGGTATTGCCTGGCATATTGCCTGCTGCATTGCCTGCCCCCCAGGCAGGGTAAGTTTAAGCTTTACGATTATTTCTTAATTGTCCCAAGCTATGAGACTGTCGTCTCAGAATCGTTTAAAAGGTGTTCTGATCCCTGCAGGATCGATCTGAATTAAAGTGTTCAGTAATACCCAGTAATAGTATCTGAATATCCTCACTTAGAGTGCAAGCTGACAGTCGCTGTCAGAACAACCACTAATCCACTACTTAATCTCATTTGTTATCACAATTTAAAGACTTTGTTCTTATTACAGATATGTAGCTGCCACCCGAGGCTCCCTCCATGTGGTACCTGGCAATATACCAATTGCCAGCCAACATCTTAACCTGGCACCTGCTCCAGGAACCATTTAAATGCTAACATTTTATCACTCTGTGTTTTTGCTCTCTGGATCCTGTGTATAAACTTGCCTAGAAATAAAGTAAGTCCTTCTCGCTCAGTTTCATTCTGATCATCAGTGATTTTAAAAGTTAATGAGTTACACCCAGTTACTTCCTGCTGCAAAGATAAATCCAACCTTCTTTATCCGCTAATATCAAAGCAGTACAATTATTCTTTACAAGATCCTTTATTTAACTGTTTGCTCCACCAGTTCATGTTTCCTGGACCTAACAGATGCTACAGGCAGTGTTTAGTTCCCTCTGACGTGTGTGTACACGTGATCAGTATTATGAAGCGCTTTCTTGAGTGCCCGAGCTTTGTATTCCTCTTTATAGCTGTTCAGTTTTCCCACTGTTCCTTGACCCACAGGTTTATAATTCTGTTCCGTCTGTCCTCACACATTCCGGATCGAGAAAATGCCTTACGTCACTCCGATTCCCGAGTCACATGCTGCTGAAAAGTAGTCGATTTGAGTTTAAAATCATAATCCAAAGAACCACATAATATTTACATATCAATTAATTGTCATAAGCCTGCCTCGTTTATGTGGAAATGCGTTTTAGAAACTTTTACCCAATACTTTCGGGTCCTGTAACTCCTGATGACAACTGCATTAAATGTCCTGCACTTTTGTTATGAAAAGATGTTTAGACATGGCCATGCATACTTTGGGCTACAGTGATGTCTTAAAGCTCTGTTAACATGCTGTTGTTCTCTTATAACTTTTCTTGCAAAGAAATTGCCTTAAATAATTTCCTTTTGCAGTTTAAACACCCCCCTCACACTTGCAATTGTCCCACAGCACAAGTTTTGTGTTGTTGAATTCAACTTTTGTTATGATTTTGTCAAAAAAAGAGAGAGCATAATTTTTTTGACTCTGTTCAAAAGATAAGCCACATTTTATAAAATATGTAATTACATTTTGTGAGATTTCATATTCTCACAGTAATGAGTATGAGAATTACTGTCTTCTGGGATGACTGTGAAGAGCAGTAGGGACTAACCAATATTTCAGGCCCTGATTATGGAGGCACTAACGTCTCAGAAACAACAATCAGTTTCTACCAGACTACATGATACAAGATCCCAGAGGACACACACCTTCATACTTTAGAATATTTATTGTATGGTATCAAATAACAAAAAAGTTTACACAAGTAGTAATAAAAAATCAACATTGTGTATGGAATTCTATGAAAGATTTTAAAGAAATTTCAAGTGTGTCTGCAGCATCATTCACAAAGAAAGAATGCCATTTGAATCCTACCGATTTTTTAAAAAAATTGTGCATCGTTTTGGTATTTGAGATGGAGGTAAATGAAAAATACAACTTTTGTCACGTAAAATTCTCATATTCCTAATCCTGCGTTTAATGTTCTGCACTCTGGTGGTAGAACTGAGAACGAACTAACATTTGAGCGCTGACGTAATTAATCGGAAGTTTTGAGAACCTCGGTAATGTATAATGCAACATTTAAAATGTAAACACAGTTTCAGTATATTGAAAATGTGTAAAAGTATTCAACATCATTTGACGAGATATTCTATTGAAACTCTGTATAAATGTTTGCTTTCAGAGATGTAGAAGAATATGACGATCAGGTGACGATATCGGTTTTGGCATCAATAGGCACTGACAAGTTCGATGTCTGCAAGAAGTTTGACAAGCAAAATGGCTTGGATTTTGCAGAAGCAATGATTAAAATGG